GACGCCACCAGCCACGGGTAGCGACAGGTTTCAGCGCTTGATCGCTGCTCCCTGCACCCACTCTGATTCGAGGTTCTCTTGCCTCCGCTTGCGTACCGCATCTGCTTCGCGGGCTCTCACTTGGGGGTCCGCTTGTAGACAAGCACGCTTTGCTTCGACTGCACGCGCCCTCACCGCTGCCACGACTTCCAACGCAATACTTGTTCTGTCTGATTGCCGCTAACCCTAACGTATTCAGTCACCCATGCTCTCCCACTGGCTCTTGGTGGAAGGCCCGCATTGCAGCAATGTTAAGCTTAATATGAAATTACCATCGTTTAATGAACAAACGTATTGTTACTCGCCTCGCGGAAATTTTCCTTTTCCCCAGTAAGCGTTTTCAGGCCAACTGGCGATGATGTTGAGTAAGGAGCTACAAATCTTGTCCAGTGCTTGCAGTTTCGACTACAATATTCATTGCGCCTGTCAATGAACTTGCCGGATTTGTTACATTCATTGGTGGCTTGTTTATCATAGGTGGGTGAGAGTTCCTTCGGCAACCAGATTCCGCTGCTCACGGGACTAGCAGGTGACGACGTGGAAAGGCTCTTTCGAAACTTGACCTTCGACGAGCTGCCACATTTGTGGAGCGTGTACAAGAAGCGCGGGTACGCAACGCTGTTTTTAGAAGAAATTCCGAGCTTCGGTTTATTTGTGTACCCCGACTACCTGGGTTTCCGCGAACCACCTACCGACTACTACCCTGTGCCTGTAATGCATGCAATGGAAGTTCATAGGGGACTCGACTACTTCTGTGCCGGCTCGCGCCTTAAGACGAAGGTGAGTGAGTGGGCAATAATATTAGAAATTCTGCCACAGCATAGTCACTACCACACTGCTTGCTTGAGGCCCACCTGCTTATGTTTAGGCGCACGTTAAAGAACCCTAGGTCGTCCGAATTTCCGGAGTCCTCCACTGCGGCATCTCTCATATTCATATGATTGGTTTGAGACGTTAAGCCCCAGATAATATTATTATTACTCTCACTTTCCTAAAATATTTTACAATAAGTTTGAATTATTATACTAGCGATTGAGTTTACTTTGCTTTGTTCTTGACCGAAACAAGAAAAACGTGTTTTTAGATGAACGCGAAGTACTACGCTTTTGCTGCACATCATTGTCGCGAGTACACAAATTATCAATTGATAGTCATAACGAGCAATACTATCTTGATACTAAGATAAAAAACAATGCTTATTGCGCCCCGCTATGTATATTGGACAATGCCGTGGTGATCTCGCTGCATCGTATGGTTATGCATGTGACCTACACGATCATTGATCATCTGCGAATTTCGAAATAGCGCCATTTGACCATCATGAGAAAAGTGGGGTGTTGCAACGTTCCCTCGCATTGCTACAACAAAGAAATTTATTACCGGGGACTCTACTGTTGACTATACTGAAATTAGCATATGGGCAGACACATAATTTTTACAGAAATTATAATACCGTACCAAAAGCAAAGTGAAGTTGGACAAGAAAAGTTAGGTGTGAGACAAACAGCGTCTTCGCTCTTCGTGGGGTCTGCTATGGCACTTGAATTACCATGACGGTATTTTTTAACCACTATCATAAGGTCTTCTTTTTGCTCTGGTTAAGCTCGCCGTCTTTCACACAACCTTATTCCCTCTCTTTCTTTGCTCAAGCTGGTATGTCTATACACCAATTTGGCAAAAGTGCAACTGCGTGAACATTGCGAAAGCAGTGAAACTACTTGAGACAGAAAAGGAATCGAAAAAAATTGTGTTTCTTTTGAAAGCATAAATAAATTTCATAAAGCTTATGACTAAAGTAAGCGCATTGTAGAACCTGTGCATTAGCATGGCCTTTATTGTCCAATAGCGCTGCACCAGTTGACATCTCTCGCAGTCTATTGAGACAATATATATGGTCACACGTATCGCCAAATGCACCTTCATGTATTCGTGAGTAGCTGACAGAAAAAGTGCCAGTCTTGAGCTCTTCCTGCAAGAGCACCTTTTCGATAAAATAATTTACATAGTACAGATGTTTGTATTCGCTGTTGTGCAAGATGTGGGCATTGCTTTTCAGATACTAGCTATCAAGTTGCTTGACGCCCCTAACGTTAGGGCTGTGATCGAATGCCGTATAACAATAGTATCAATAAGAGTACGGTAAAGCAATCGAATAACTTGATGACAATGACATAGTGCGAGACACTTACGAAAATACTGTGTATCTTGCTACAAGCCACAAAAAATATAAAAAAATGAAATCTCTTGAAGCTGACATAACAGGGCTCCGCCGTTCCCGTAACACAAACCACAATCACTAAACAAACACCAAGATGCAGATGCATCTATTAAGCGCTAAAGTTTATTTCACTTGATTGTTAATGATATTGAAGCCTCAACATCACTGTTTATTTTTATTTATTCAAGTACCAGGCTTCGATATCTTGCGACCATATTAGTATATGGTCTCACACAAAGGCGTCGCAAATGGCAGAGACCTCTCCCTTAAATACAGAGCAAGGGCAGGAAAGATGTGATCGATCTTAAATTCTCAACCTCCGTCCACGCGCTTCAAATCTGTCATAATTGCATCACCTCAATTAGGTGATTAGCGTCTGTAAGTCGACACTCTGTGACACCACTGAAAAGGTATCAGTATTGGATACTTTTTCCTGCTTTGCATTTTTACACAATCATGTTTCACACGGGCGCAGAACAAAAGAGAGTAAAAGAAATAAATTCAGAGCAGGGGAGATGATATTATCTGGTACCTACCTGGCTTGTCCGATTGATCCGTAAGGAGGAGCTTGTCTTCTCGGACACCACAGTTTCATTTAAAATGGAGGCGAACTGTTCGTATCTAGGTACACCTTAGAGAACCCGAAGTGGCACGAAATACGGAGCCCTCCGATACGGCATCCCTCACAGATGATGTGATTTTCATATGTAAAACCTAATTTATTTCTTGTCATGTTTGCTTTTATCTGTATATGGTAAAAGTTACCATAGCCGAAACACGTATTTCACTTTAGGTTTTGAAAGGCACTTTTATCAGTTTTCAACGGAAGTTTGTGATGCAAGGTAACATATTTCCATACATATAGATGAATATTTCCTCCAGTTGTATTGTTGGTTTGCGAAGCCTTGATATCAATCAAGTCAATCAGTGGAATCTCCTCTAAGAACACTCACAAAAATACAGGAAGTACTGCAAAAGCAGAGCAACTGCGTTTCTCCTCCCAGAGTTCTTTAACTGCGTGAGGGAGGAGGTTAGAGTGATCCGCGGGACTTACTCTTCTCAAAAAGCAGAATAAAAGAGACTGCGAGCACAATGCTAGTTAGGTGGAGTTCTCATTTTATGAAACTCTCGTGCCGATGAGAAGTGAATAAGCTTTGGCACTCCATCCTTTCGACTGCGTCTAGTACATTCTAGCGACTGCGTCTCACCACCGACGCTAGAAAGCGATGCAACTTTCTCCTAACCATTTGGCTCTCAGCGTAGACACCCAGATGTACGTGTAATGCTTCCAGTTAATAGGAATACATTCAGTGATAAGCCAGGCATGGTTTTGAGATCGTGAAATTTTTGTTTCCAAAACGCCAACAGCACCACTTTCGAATCAAGGAACAACGGAAACTTCTTACCCGTCACAAAAAGTAGTTTATAGAAGAAGCTATGCTCAGCGACATTTTTTTTGTGGCAGTACTGCCAAAGCTACATGGCTGAGCTTAAGTACATGTGTTACTGCGCCGAGTAATATAATAAGTCATGACAGCGGGGATAGAGTTGCTGCTTACGAATGTGTAGGTAGGTGTTGGGAGGAAGCAAAAAATAACAGATACCAAACGTGGTATCTGTGTCTTAGGTTGACTCCATTGCTTATTTTGATATGCATTCTTAAAAAAGTAACACATCACGTAATACTGGTGTGTTGATGTTGTGCCCGAACATGCGTAACATACGCTTTCTGGTTAACATTCTTGACTAGTATGAACGAAACCAGGAGATCAAAATGGGTGGTCGTTCTGTAAAGGGTTTCACTCTGATGGCTAAACCGAGTGACAGACAGAAACAGACACACATCTTGAGCAAAATTTCCATGTCGAAGTATCCTAACAAATAATATTATCTTTGAAAAGGCTCTGAAAGAGCACTCTTCGAGCTCTCGCTGTGACTGGGCTGCCTGTTTCGCGCAGGCCTGACTGTTTTTTAATGTTGAATTCTAATGGCAGATTGCGAGCGCTGGGCCGGATTGTGAATTGGAGCGTACAGATCCGAGCGAGATTGCTCTCGCCAATACTGCGATTGAAACGCAGATTTGGCAGAAAAGCGAGGGAGCACAGGAAAGTGCGAGAGAGTGCAAAGCGTTTTCCGGACATCCATCGGTGATTGGATGAAAGGCGAGTGCACAGAGTACGTCAATCGAACTTCCGGTCAAATCCACCAATTTCGGCGGAGCAACAATTCTTGCTCCATGGAGCAATGTGTGATCTGTGGTTGCTCTCAATCTGCCATTGTAACTCACAATTCACGCTCCCGATCCGTCATTGGAAAATGAGTGCCCCGATCACAGCAGAAAAACTTGATCTGGATCTGCCATTGGAATTCAATATAAAGAGATTAACGAACCGCCAGCTCACAAAGGGGTAGTTGGCCCCTGTATCGACCAGTGTGACAACTGGACGTCTGTCAAAACTGACTGCCTAGCCAGTACTTGATGTGCGGCTTCGAAGTCGATATGACACCGACTGTGCAGTGTGTCATCTCGCGTGGTAACCACTGGGCCAGATGGAAGCCTCTTGACAAAGCTCTGCGGAAGTCAGGCTGGTCGTCGTTGTACTAAGTAGCGTCAGAGCATTCGAGTCGTCACGTTGCGTCGGGGTCCCTTGAGGGTTCCCGTGTTCACTCGAGAGCAGCGTCACATCCCGATGGCACGGGTGTTAGCTTCCCCTATGTGTGTATGGTGACCTCCTTCTTGAAATCCGCCCCACCGCGGTGGTCTAGTGGGTAAGCTACTCGGCTGCTGACTCGCAGGTTGCGGGATGCAATCCCGGCGGCAGCGGCTGCATTTCCAATGGGGGCGGAAATGTTGTAGGCCCGTGTGCTCAGATTTGGGTGAATGGTAAAGAACCTGTGGTAGTCGTAATTTTCGTAGCCCTCTAATACGGCGTCTCATAATCGTATGGTGGTTTTGGGACGTTGAACCCCACATATCAAACATCTCGAGTTCCCATTGTAGGGTGACGACGAGCGGCGATGGTGGCTTGACGGAGACCTCAACCGACAGGGGACGCCATCGTCGGACTCACATGTAGGCCTTCATTGCATCAAGACGTTGGCCTGGCAAGGCTGGTGTGAGATTGCGCGAAGGCCCATTTGGTGATATGGCCAGTGTCGTAGAAGGTGATGGGCTTCAACGCAGTGAAGGGGTCACCGATTTGGGCGCCTCCAAACATCAGTCTTGAGTGGTGCGGTTTGGTGTTACGGTTGTGATTTTTTTGGGCTGTGGCACTTATGGTGGTGGTGGGCTGGATGGCGTGCGATATGGTGGCGTGTAGCTATCTCGTCACCAGCCGCTTGGTCTTGCCTGCTTTCTCAGCGTTGCGGCGTAGGTGAGAACACCAGTCCCCGATTTAGGCGACGATGTGGGCCATGTCGTTTCGGTGGGATCGAGTGTTGCTGAACTTTTTTCTTGATGGCGTCGGTGAGCGATGCGATTGCGGGTTGTGCGCCCAGTAGGAGCTCGCGCAGCCCATCGCGTACATGAAAGTCGGACAATGAAGCAAGGTAGTTGCGGTCA